CCCCAGGTTCTGTTCCCTTCCTTGTAAAACGTCGTTCAGCCCAGCGTGTATCACCACCAGGTTCTGCCCGTCCATGCTGTCCCATAAGTGGTCCTTTGCCCCCTCCATAACCTTTCCGATGCAGGCACCCGGGTACGCCTGCACTGTGACCCTCTCATCGTCCTTTACCTTCCAAGCGAGCCCTGCCTTGAACCTGTTCACGTTCGAACTTCCAACCACAAGGACCCTTTTTTCCTCACTTGGGCCCGCTCCAGTCGAGCCCCCTGCCAACTGCCCTTTCTGGTTCACCGCATTTGTCTCTCTATTCTTCTGGCTGTTCTGCGTCAGCGCCCCCGCGTAGCCTTGTCCGACGCTGCCGTCGTCGTCCCCATCCCCGTCGCCCACGCTGGTGGCCGACCGCGCCTCGTCATTTTGCTTCTCAGCCTGTCCGCCATTACCCTTCAGGGCGACCGTCTCTGTCCGACTCCCCTCTACGTTCTCTTCCAGCGCCTGTCGCTCGTCTCTCTCCCTTCTCAGTTGGTTCTCCAGTTCCACAACGCGCGCGACTATTGTCGTGTTCTCGGTTTCCATCCTGCCTAGACGCGCCTGTAGGACGCACAACCTGCATAGGAAGTCTCCTGCCTCCGCTTCCTCAGCGCTCTCGAACCTAGTTTCCGACATACTAACCCAGATCAGACACTCCCCGCACTGTACTTGAACGTCCTTCTTCGCCATTCTTCCCTACTTCCGGTCCCAGCCCAATTCGGCCCTAATCTCGAACACGTCGTACACCACGTGTTCTGCTGCTCAAATCTAGCCGATTTCCCCTCCTTTTTACGCTATATATACTCGATAAATGGAATTGGCAGACCTCTACTGCCTCTACGCCGCTCTCCCCACGTGTCTTCTAAACAACGCCGCTACCCCTCCCGCCAACCATTCAAACAAAGCCACGTGGCCCCGCCATGTGGCACCGTTGATAGACTCCCGTGCCTACAAAAAACTAAACTTAACTAAACTAAAAACTATCCTATCCCCTGTCCCTACTGCTACCAAAAACTACCGTCCCTAGTCCATGCACAGCTAAATAGGAGAAAAAAACAAAAAATGCTTAGCTTCGGGAGCTTTCGAAAACACGTCCGCTGCCGCTGCCGTCGTAACACATTGTGTAGACCACACAACATGTCTGTTGGTGACGCCGGTAGGTAGCTTGCGCCGCTTAGAAGTCTAAAAAGATACTAAAGCAAGGCACGCGCCGCGCGGCAATTTCCAGTTTCCATGGCAACTTGTGCGGACGCAGACGACGCAGTGACGCGCAGCTTGGCATTGGTCTACGTAACAGCGTGACAGCGCCCTGGGCCTTGGTCCTGGGTCGTGCGGCGCCCGTTTTTGTCGCTCATCTGTTCCATGGGGGTGAGACTTTGAGCCGGAGGCACGCGGGAGAGAGTCCAAATTTTTCTCTGTCCCGCTTGTCCCCAGCTTCTAATCGCCTCTCCGTGTCTGTAATCCTTTTCTCTAACCAGGGCTCCGCGGCCAAATCTGTTACCCCCTCAGGGAGGGCAGGGCGAAGCCCCGTGCACTTGAAGAAGTGCTCTTGGGTCTTGCTCACATTATAGTTTTAGTAGACCGTTCCCATGACTCCAATAACGGTACCCGATACTCCGCCACCTCCTCCCTTGCGCATGCATAGTATCATTAGAGAGTTTTAGTAGATCGTTCCGATACCTCCGATAGCCCCGATACCGATACTATGCATGCACAAGAGAGGCGGTGGCGGAGTATCGGGTATCGTTATCGGAGTCATGGGAACGATCTACTAAAACTCTCTATTAGAGAGCTTTAGTAGATCGTTCCGATACCTCCGATAGCCCCGATAAGGATACTATGCATGCGCAAGGGAGGTGGTGGCGGAGTATCGGGTATCGTTATCGGAGCCATGGGAACGATCTACTAAAACTCTCTATTATCGGGGCTATCGGAGGTATCGGAACGATCTACTAAAACTCTTATGGCAGGCAGCATATAATATCAGCTGCCCGTTCTCGCCTCAAACAGTAAACTCCCCAGTAAATTGTCAAGAACATTTTCCTTTGTTGTGTCCCGTTTTTGTGGCCTGTACATTGTTAGAGCCGATTTTTCCTACCATTCTTACCTCCCCGATTTTCCTCTCTATCTTCCACTCCCTTCTCCATACAGTCTGCTCAGGCCCATCATTAATGTGTAGGTGTATAAATGTAAAGTATTGGGTTAGGTTTGTCCATTTTGTGTTAAAATTTTTCATGTACCCACCGCATATCATCCATTTCGGCCAACCAGCCCATGTACCCCTGTCATTTGGTTTCAATTCCATGTGCTCCCAGTGCCAATCTGCCTATGCTTCTTCGTTGAATTACTAATCCTGATTGAACCTCTAATTTCATGCACAGTACCCCATTGCCAAAAGACAGTCCTGGTACCATCACTCTTTTCCATATACCTCTGACCACTTCATATCTATTATGTTTCACAGTGCCTTGAGCTTCATAATAGATTAATTTATTTTCCCTTTTCTAATCACATTATCTTCAAGTTCCTCTAGTATTTCCTTCCATCATAAGCCAGACACCCAGATATAATTTCTACACCTATTACAACGTCTTGTATTCTCAGGGGTTCCCCTTTTTTGTCGTTAAAACACAATTACTTCAGACTTGTCACTACAAAAACATGCCAAAGGTGTCCCCTTCCTTCCCAGATATTCCAGCTAGTTCCTGTAACATATCCTGGTTATCGGCCATAATTACTATGTCGTCCGCATACATCAGTCCTGGTATTACCTGTACTACATTTCTCTCTAAATAACTCACATCAAAACCTGAGCTGCTCTGCTCTAATTTCTTTTCCCTTTCATCAACATATATCGTAAAGAGCAGATGTGACAGTGGACAGCCCTGCCTGAGCCCTCTTTTACTGCTGTGGGTTGTGTAGTTCCTGCTTCTGATGTTATGACTACCTTATTGTCTATGTACACCCAGTGGCGTACCAACTTGTTTTTGAGTGGGGGGCAAACCAGAACCCCCCCCCCCCAGAGGCCGGAAGGTGGTGCCTTTGGTATCCCTTGGGCGCCGCCGACCAGTGTTTGCCCTGCCCAGTGGCGGCTGTTTCCGGGGGGGGGCAAAACACATGCTTTGCTCCTCACTCTGAGAACTGGGGGGGGGGCAAGCACACCCGTTGCTCCCCTGGTTGGTACGCCCATGTGTACACCTGCTGAAGAGACCTGACCAAATTTCCATCTAAGTCATACTCTTTCAGCTGACCCCAAAGTTTTTCCTGGCTTACATTATTGTATGCTCCTTTAATGTTTAAATAAGCTAACCATAAAGGAGTTAGGCCCTTCATTGCTATTTCTATACATTCCGGTGACGAATAAGTTATCTTCTAGTCTCTTCAGAATCCGCTGTTGAGCTCACCCAGTATTTGCACATCCCCCTTCTGCCCATTCCTCTATTCTCTGCTTTACTATCTGCATAGCTACTCTGTATAGAACCGAAGTTACTGTTATTACAGGCAGGCGATATGACTTAATGGTGTCTTTGTTTCCTCCAAGTCTCATTTTACTTAGTCTCCAATCATTGTAACTCTCTTCCCACAATTACTTCATTAATCACATGCTGTAACCTTAATATGCTTGTTTTTCCTAGCGTCTTAACGAGTTTCAGGGGTGTGCTGTCTGGGCCTGCCGCTGTACCTGCTGGATATATACTTTCTGCCTTATCCCATTCTCTTGTGGTTGTCTCCATTGTTACCGAGCTAATCAATGACATTAGTCGGAGCAGCAACACATTTTGCTAACACTAAAATGAAAGAATATATCATAATTTTCAAAGTACTATGTCAAAAACTACACTCGAGCCTGAAATAAAAGTAACTGCTTGTCTGGTCACATAAAAGTGATGCAGAGCTCTAATGCGGAGCGCAAGTTTGTCTGCTTCTTTTGCTGGGGTTGTGGTGACATCCGAGCTACAATTGAAGAATAGTGGGTAGACCTCAAAGCAGGCTGCCTTGAGGTCTACCCACTATCCTTCGATCAGAGCCAATCAGAGCTCGGCATTATGATGTCACCAAAACCCCTGCGGGAGCAGACTAACTTGCATTCCGCATATAAGGATTTCCAGTCTTTATTTCTGGCAGAATTTGGTGCGATAAATCTACTTGGTTGCATGCTTAACAAGTTGTTAAGTCAGCTGTTTAACCCTGTTCCGTCCTTTCATTTGTTTGTTTAAGTTTGAGCTTCCGGCCCCTTCACTAATAAATTGCCGTTTGTTCGTCTAACACGAGATTAGCATTTATCGAGGTTTACTACACATACGAGCACACCTGAAACAAGCAGCAGCACAGAAAGTGACCGATTTTGCCAACGGTGCAATTATGACAAATGTTTCTTTGGTTGTTCGAGCCTCTTTGCTTGCACATGTTCGAAAATGAAGTGTTACAATGACTCTAACACAGTACTTACCAAGAAATGCAGAATGCGGTTAACATAAACACTGACTAGGCGATGAGAGCTTCAGTTAATTTTTACAACAATTATGTTAAAAAAATATCTTGTGTGCATATACCAATAGTTTTGTTGAGAAATGAAAATCTAGAAACCCCGCTTATTCGGGACCTCATAGTTCAAACTGTTTAAAAAAGTAAACAAGTGTGAAACTTCCATAGTATTCTATGAAGGAAGTGCAACGTGAGCTCTCAGAATAGTAAAAATAGTCAGCTTACTGGCACACTTTTAGCAGCTTTTATACTGGTGGGAATCAAGAATTTTGTCTGCAACAGTAGTTGTCCAAAGGTTATAGTTATGCTGGAAGGATAGATAGAGTATCTGTATACAACTTGGTACCTATCACCAATATAGAGTTTATTGCTGCTGTGAACGTGTGAACTTTTAATGAGGCATCACTATGCAGCGACTGAAATGCACTTCTGTTCAGTCACTATGCTACGTGGAACAGGCGCGAGACGTTCAGTCACATTTTCACCTCCGCTCTGGGTACCAAAATAGTTTACTCCTTAAAAGCATGGAACTATTAATATGGGGGAAAAACATTGCGAGTTGGGAACGCTAACCAACACATCCTCATTTTATTCACTGGACTAACACTATACCTTGTGGGCGCCAAAGTAGGAGCACAAAAATCTCGCCTTTAAATCACTGTGAGAATGAAAACGACTACTATGTAACAGGATATGAAAAAAAAAAAAATTTGGCATTTACAAAAGAATAAGTATATAGAAGCAACTTTGAAAACTGGAGGAGAGAAAATATGAAAGGTGCAAAGAAGAGAAAAGATTGGCCACGGAGCCAAGTACCTTTCTAATCAAGAAAATAAGAGATTCTCTATAAACTTCCAAGTCAAATCATAGTACTTCATGGGCACAGTGCATGTCTCTCCTTCGAATGGCAACACACCATTCCTAGTCATTCAGAATTTCCTTTCTTTTTCATATACATTGGCATAGACGTTTTCCAAAAATTGAATATCCGCCAATAAAAAAAAAAAAGGGGGAGGGGGAAAAATATGAATCAGCTCGCATGTTTTAGGATTACCCCGTAGGAGTACGGACTCGCAAATGTTGACCCAGAAAATGAACTGGTCTTCGGCAAGCAGTTACAAACTCTTTGCTCCAAAGAAAGTGGGAACCTACTTTGTAACTAATTATTGCTTCGTTTACCCATGCCCTCGCCAATATGGTAGAGCTACGATGCCTGGAACGCATCCTGCACTAGCACATTCAGCATCCCATACCGCCCGTGCATCCAGAACAATCCAAAAATGGCGACAAAGTCGGTGTTTTATTTTACAACAACCTCGTTCGATTTACCTGCAGTGTACTTCCGGTCGTGTCTCAATACACAGTAGAAGTACACTGCCCTACACTTTTCAGTACTGGTGCAGGAGGTGCAAGTAAATCGAACGACGCTAATGTACTGCAACGAACGCTACAAGCCATGTCAGTCAATTCAGTGTATCGCACGTGCAATACGACTTCACACTCCACGCATCACTCCCCTCAACCACAAAGATGTGCAACATGTTCCGTGCTATGGATTGGCTCTGGCGGCTCGTAGCATCTATCGCGAAACGTTGGAAGGTAAAACAAAGTTACAGATCGTGTCATTGGCGTCGCAATCCCACTGGTTGCTGAGCGAAAGCACGCATTGCTGTTGATGCGGCGTCCCAACACGCGCCTGCCCGAGTTCTCGTCACCCATGGGGCCGCTGCAGAACAAGCCATGCAGAGAGGGCGTTTCTTCCTACACGCCTTCTCTGCCGTGTCGTCTCCAAGATCGCGGCCGGCTACGATCGAGGCAGTTGCAACATCACAAGGCAAGCATCGAGGAACACGAGACGAAGTCGTCATAGGTGCGCCAGTCAGACGCACGTTACACTACCACCCCGCCTACAGGTCGTGTGTCTTCCGGGTGTGTCTGTGCTTGGCCACCCGCGACCGGAACACCTGCGGACACCAATTGCACTTGTACGTCCGCTCCCCGGTGTGAGTCTTCATGTGGTCTAGGAGGGTGCCCTTGCGCACAAAGGCCGACTTGCAGATGCCGCACGTGAAGGGCATCTCGCCAGTGTGTCCTCGCATGTGCTCCACGAGCCCCACCTTACGCCGAAACGTGGCGCTGCACAGGGTGCATGCAAAGGGCTTGTCCCCCGTGTGCGTGTGCATATGGGTGTTAAGGTGGCTCTGCGTCTGAAAGAGGAGCCGACAGACGGCGCACTCGTAGACACGCAGGCCGGCGTGGCTGCGGAGGTGAAAGGTCATCTGGGCTTGCTTGGGGGTCACGTAGGGGCACTGCTCGCAGCGGAAGCCGACGCCACTCACGAAGGTGGCCGGGGCGGCAAGCACCGCGGAGTTTCCCCAGCTGGCACCTAATGGAAGCAGACGGAACGTCCGTTAGGAGGCGGGCAGCCCAAACGTTTCATTTGGGTTGTGAGCGATGGGAACCGCCAACCCCTGGGATAGTCGGAACTAATCTTACTCTATTACAAACTATGCTCACAAAAATTATATCTGAAACTACCAGTTAGGTTACCCTTTTACTTTTACAATCATTTCTTTCAAGCAGTTGACTAGTCTGAACTAAAGAAACTAGGGCCTCCCTCCACTGATGGATTCGTATTGTTTCGTGTTTCTACAAGACAAAGACAAGTTTCACGGAACTATGTTTAGTGAGCAGGTTTTCCTCTACACACTTTTCGTCGACACTGTGCCATCTCACAGAATCTCACTTTGTGTCCACACGTTCTTGTGGCATTTCGTCGGCAGTTTACTTTTTTTTTTTTTTTTTTTTTACTGGGTTGTTTGCATTGGGCATCTGGATTAACTTCATTTGCTGGAACCAATACAGCAAAAACATAATAGTGAGCCCTATTCTTAGGCTTCCAAACAAATTGCACTATGCAAGGTTAACACCATGCATAGCACAGGTTTAGTTGACAATGATGTTGATGAAAAACTGTAATTCTGATGAAAATACCTTTCGATGAAATATTGTTAGACGAACCGACTGTCATCACTGCTGATTGCTATTAAAAAACAAGCCAGATTTTTATTTAATGTTTTTTTTTTAATGTTTAGATGATTGAACCATTATATTTCAACACTTGGAATTGCCAGAGGCTACAAAAACTGCTTGTGCATGGGGATAGCCCCATAGAATTGGTGGGCATGATTGCACACTTCCAATGCACAAGGGACACTTATAATGCATCTCTTCTTATCAATGCACCCTGCTTTAATAAGGCTAGCATGTACACCTGTACTATGCATCACAATTCAGCTTTGGTCTTCAATAAATTTTCAAGAGATTTCTAAAAGTTTACATACTTCAAAAGCACCCTTTTTAAAATAAAAAGACTGTCGCATGAAAGGCTGCCCACACTGTTTCTGACCTAGACAACACAAACAGCATTGAACAAGGCAACTAAGAGATGAAAAAATTGCACAATCCACTTCAAAACACAACACAGTAATTGATGCTTGCCTACAATCCAGATAACACACAGCAACAGCTATTCTTCAATATTTGCATAGCTTATGAGTGTCTTGGACATTTCCGCAGCTATGATGATATGCGCCAATGACCGACATGTTCAAATTGTCACTCTGGTTATTCAGATGTCACCGACATGGTGCAGTTAACAAGACATTAAGGACTACACAGCTTCAAATCACTACCTTTTGCTTATAAAGAAAGGAAGAAAAAAAGAATGAAATACCTTATGAGTATCAAACTGCATTACAAGGCACAAACATTTCAAATAGCTTGAGCGTAATCTTTGTGATGTGTAAGCAAAGCTGCTTGCATCATTGATATTCCGTTACCATAAACCATAAAACCATGTGCAAGTGAAACTAAACACAAGTGCAGCAACGACTGATAGCTTCCGTTACAAAGCCTGTCAGCATAATAGAAGCTGGTAACACTTGTAACTTTTTATATACTAGACATGATTGCGTCTGGATCAGGGCACCAAAGAGCATCACGCACAGCCAAAACACCATCTTCCCATTCAATGAGTCAATGTAGTGATTGAAGAATAATAAAGCAGCTGAAGTGCAAAAAAGAGTCATGCATAAGAAAAGCTTTCCTCGAGCTGATATGAATGAACTACAAGACGAGGCAATTTAGTAATTCTAGCTGAACCTGGTCCAGAGGTGTAGAATCTGGAGAACTGTGTAGAGACGTAAGCAAGCATGACATGTTCATTATCCAGAAAAAAATTAAAAAAAACATTTGTGTGGCTTGGGTTGGTTGGTAACCAATACTGGTGTCCCACTTCCAAGTGGGAAGCGTAGGCGAAAATGAGTGCCTGTCTTGAATCTGGGGAAAGATCAAGGCAGTTCAATGAAACCCCCATCTCATACACAGCATTACAGCTAATTCACTTCAATATGCAAACAATAAAACACTTACCTTTGTTTGGCATCACTTATGACAAGGCCATGCTGATCATTTACTGCATCATGGCTATAGAGAAAACTTGGAACCGAAGCAAAAACAAAAGGTGATCAAATCAGCAAATATGCTAGAACGTGAAGGGAGAGTTTGTCGACATACTGAAACCCGAGACGGAGGCAAAAAAGGACAAACCATGTCTAAAGTCATTGAGACGTTGTTTTGTAAATTTTCACCTCTGCCTTGGGTATGTCGATTAACAACCAGCTCGCCTGGCTAATGATGTCGTCTCCAAGGGAGAGTTGTACAGTACAGTCAACAGTCCTTCTATTACATGTCAACGACATGCTTGCATCTAGCAAATGTCTGCTTGTCCAATACGCAGACAACACCACTGCTCTGGCCCCAGTAACGTTGCCCTTCTCTGTGTCAGGTGTCCAGGACTTCCTTGACCAGATCGGCTGCTGGGCTAGAACCAACAACCTCGCAATAAGCCAGCACAAAAGCACTAGCACTGCAACGCACCTCACCAAGTCATTCTACTTCCCTTTCAGCTTACACCCTGTCAGGCACTCCAATTGGCGTCATTCAGTTGATTCCTATCTTAGGAGTTATCTTCTCTAGACTTCTGTCGCGAAATCACCAACACTGCCTCAAAGGCACGCCAAACTCTTGGCTTTGTTACCAGTGTTTCAAAAGCCAAGGGGGCCTGAAATATATTGTGCACTATATACTGCCTTGGTCCTGCCTAGGCTTCAGTACTGTTGCTGTGTGGCATCCATTCCAGGCCCACGTGGTCGACAGACTCAAAGGTGTGCAGTGTCGGGCCACCCGGGCTCTCTATTTTCGAATGCTGGGCCAGCATGCCCCTGCACCCCCGTACGAGGCTCAAGGCCGCCAGCACCAACAGACTGTGGCTTGGGTTGGTCTACTGTGTTGGCTGCTCGACAGTTCTATGGAGGGCACCCTCTTGGCTCCTACATGCGAATAGGGAAGCGATCCGGCCAGCCAGTGTCCAGAGCTTGCACACACTGTGCGCCACACTAACTCTGTGCACCCGGCTGCCCTTAGGGACTTCTTGGCCGCCTCTTGTCTGTTCGTTCCCCCCCCCCCTACTGACCAGACAGAACCAACCACCCTTCGCCGCGCATTCTCGCGATCCTTTTTCTAGCGTGTACATGTTGTTCTTCTGATGTTTCTGTTATGTTTTGATCCGTTGTTTTTCTCCTGCCCCAGGTGTGGCTAGTAGACGCACAAGCGCACGGGCTCTCGCCTTTCTGTTCTAGACGAGCAAGCCACTCGGGTTAGAACTTCTCTGCAAAAATAGATTATTATTATAAGCACCTTCATTCAAAATAGCTGTCCCAGAGCTATCGCAAATGCATTTTCTGAATTTTCTGAAACAGGAATTTGACTCTGTATAGCCCCTTTATTTAAAGTATGCAACAATAATGAAAAACCGCCATCACAGTTAAATGGGGAAAAAAAAGAAACATGTGTGGGCTGATGCACGATAGACAAGCTTCCTGAAGGTTCCAGGCAGGTCCCAGTGCCGCTTACCTCTTCGGGAATTCCGACACCGGCTTACCGTTTCTCTGAAGCTTACCGCTCCCGAACGATCTTCCGGTTACCCCCTAGACTCAGTGATAGAAGGCACTCTTCAACGTCGGCACTCTTCGCAAATGTACCGAACTTTCGAGCTTTACAAACGAAGAGGGAAGCCGAAAAACGGATTCTTGGAACTGCGTCCACAAAAAACATTGAAAAAAAAAAAAAAAATTTAGTGTGCTGTTGATGCGAATGTGACTGAAAGCACCCGCGCCAGGCTTCAAGAAAAAATAGAATATTTTTTTCTTGTTTATACTAAAATATGTTTTCATACTCTCAGAAAGAATCCGTTTTTCTTGATCTTACAACATAAAGTTTATGCAATGTTAAAAAAAAAAAAAAACAGTAAATACGAAAACGTATTTTTGGCTGCTTTGGCTGCTTTGGCCACTTTGGTGGCTTCGGCCACTTTGGCAGCTTTGGCTTTGGCGTAACGTTGGCTTTGGCCCTTCGGTGCCTTCGGCCACTTCGGCCACTTCGAGTTCGGCCCTGTGCTTCGGCCGTCGATGAGAAGCGGCAATCGTGAATGGCAGTTGGGCCTTCGATGCACGACGAAGTGTCTCCTTTGCGCAGAGAGTTCAAGCACGCCATGTGCATGATCAGGGACCAAAAAGCGGCATGGGAGAAGCACATGGAGGAATCGCGACCCCACCTCTCGTCCGTGCTCACGCTCAGCGAAATTCTGTCCAGTTGTGTTGCGGCCAAGCTAGTGTCGTCGAATCTCGTGTCCAGGTACCCCGACATTCGGCAGCGGGTTATACGAAAAGTGGAGAACGAACTGCTCGAAGAGAAGGCCAAGTTGGAAAATACCGTGTAAGTGCAGAAGGCATTGATTTTTATCGAAGCTGAACATGGGGGTTGAGAATGAGAACACAGCTCGCTTCAAACAACAGACCATCTCAAAACGTTAATTTATTTTTTCTCAGTTTTTTAGAACTTTTGCGGAGCGTTCAAGCGCCATCCGAAGGTGCTGAACTCAAGTCACACTGTTATTTTGACATATGTGTTCCGTCAGTTGCCCACAGGCAGACGCGCAGCGAGCAGTATATATGCTTTCCTCTCCATGCTTATGTAACCTAATTATCCAGCTCCCCTGATTTTAACGTGAAACGTTCTTTGGTTATTTTGGTATTTCGTGAAGTCAAGATAAAAGTGAAGCCTGGATAAAAGCGCGGCCGCGTGGCTCGGCACTGATTGGTTGGCAGGTGGGAGAGGAGGTGCGATGTGCTCAACGCTGATCGGCTAACGGGGATTTCATGTGATTAGAGGGGTAGGCGGGGACGAGCTTGACAACCTGTGCGCACTGACTGAGAGAGTGAAGCTTGAGAGTATGGAAGGCTCTGGATGATCGCCTGGTTTGTCAGCCCGATTAGCAGTAGTATTGCTCGCTGATCTCTAGTGTAGTAGGCTGGATCGCGGATCGTGAGCCCGTCGGTCGCACCACTGGTGGATATTACTTGACACCAGGCAATACCATACCTCGGCAAACCTCACTCATGAGGGCCCTCACTCACCCTCACTCACCCTCATTTTCACAGGTGAGGTGAGGGTGAGTGAGTTTCTGAACCAGGAAAATTCATGAGTGTGAGGGTGAGTGAGGGCCGTGAGGGCCGTGAGGGCCGTGAGGGCCGTGAGGGCCATGCAACTCGGAGCAATTCGAATGCGTTTGAAGCGGCTGCATCCAATCAGGGACGCAAAATTTTCACGTGATACCTCGTGCCATTGATGATGACACCGAAAGACTTGGTTCTGGTTTGAAATCAATAGTTTTTTTTGGAAATAAACTGTTTCAGAAAGGTGCATTAGTATTCTTAACGAGATTTAAATGCATAAAAACACGTTTATAACGCGTAATTGTGTCTAAATAGTGCAAGAAAAATAAAATTTTATGATGACGATGGCAAATTGCAGCAATTGGTTGCTGCAATTTGCAGCAACCAATTGCTGCAATTTGCAGCAACCAATTGCTGCAATTTGCAGCAACCAACGCGGGTGGCCCGTGTTGCTGGTGTTACGATGTAAAGTTTCTGGGCGAAATTGCCCCATCTGAAGCTGGCCTGAGTGGCGTGAGGGCCATCAGTGCGTGAGGGGCGTGAGGGGTGTGAGGGCCGCAAGGGCGGTGAGGCGCGTGAGGGCGGTGAGTGGCGTGAGGGCGGTGAGTGGCGTGAGGGCCGTGAGGGCGGTGAGTGGCGTGAGGGCTATGAGTGCGTGAGGGCCGTGAGGGCGGTGAGGGCCGTGAGGGGCGTGAGGGCCGTGAGGTTCAGTGAGGGTGAGTGAAGGGCTGAAGGTGAGTGTGACTGTGAGGGTGAGGGTGAGTGAGGGGCTGAAGGTGAGTGTAGCTGTGAGGGTGAGGGTGAGTGAGGGGCTTAGGTGAGTGTGGCTGTGAGGGTGAGGGTGAGTGAGGGCGACCTAAAATGCCGACCTCTGGGCAATACACACAAGTCTATGGGAGGAACACACGAAAGTAGAAATATTGAAGCTTGTATGCTGTGCTCGAAGGCAACTATTTTATGATGTGTTGCGATCATTATATTGGGTGTTTAGAGATTGAATCAGTATCTGTCAAGTGTTTGAACATCCATTAAAAAATGAAGCATGCGAGAGCACCCACAGCTGAGCCGGCAAGCTTGCTGTCGTGGAGTACACAAAGGAACTTGCCGTCAATAAGACCGTCCTCGGGAAAGCCTAGAAGTTGATGAATGGCGAAAAAGCTCTATGTTGACAGCGGCTTTCCGGGAGTGAGCGAATTCCTTGTTGCAAAGCCTTCAAGCTTTGTCGTCTGCTAAACCCAACTCATCGAAACCACCACCGAGTCTGTGGTAACTCTAGGCAACTCTTGTCTCATTGAGCTGCACTACATTTTTCGCCCAGCAGAATCACTCTCAACCACAAAACATTTATTTATAAGAACTGAGAGAGATGTCAGCTTTAATGTTTGTGCACAAGGCTATTTGGCAGGCTTCCCAAAAAGCAGCCAAAAAGGGTCAGTGCCGACAACAACTTAGAAACGAGGAAAACGGCAACTTTTTCTCGTTTTTCCCATAGAGTCCCACGCATTAGCTGGTTTCAAGTGATGGATGCCTTTGGTGCCACTCGACCTTAACAAGACAAGCCCCGATCCGCGATCCACCCTACTACAATTCTAGGAACAACTATCAAGTGTAGACATGGTATGCGTTAAACTATCTGGTAAAAAGCACCGTGAACTTAGGCATTTTTAACAATTGCCAAGCAATTTGCCATAAATTTTTAACATCATCAATGATATATTGGAGTTTGGGTCTCATGTTCTTCAGTGACAAAAGCCATCGCTAGAAACATCAGAGCAAGCAAAGAAACTAAAACCATAAAAAGAAAAACCATGAAAAGTCCCCTTGACATTATGAGAACTCCTCTCAAATACCATAAAGAAGAAAGATAACAAGTGAAACATTGTACCATCAGAGCTGGTTCGAAATACAATCTGTGGTTTTTTGGTATTTTTTAATGGCCCACATACCCTAAATCGGCAGAGAACAAAAAAAAAGTACACAGGAAGTAGGCTTACAAATTTCGGCTGCAACATGCTGAAAGCATGTGTTTTTTGCTAAGGGACGGCGCTTGAACACTCAGTAGGAGCATTGTCACGCGGCACTTGAACGCCTCAAATGGCACTTTACACACTATTTTTTTCTCCTCAATGCACCGGCATTTTAATTCTAGTTGGTGACAGGTTAATAGTTTGGGGGAAGCTCCTCCCACCTCTTTCCAATTTAATAGAGTGAATGCTGTATAGGAGGTGACTTCCTCTCCAGTGTTCATTCTGCTTAAGTGGAAAGAATTCAAAGTAAAAAAGAAAGCCTGTAAACTTAAAACCTTAGTTGTAACTTGACCAAATTTGCACCAGCAAGCGGTACCATAGAAAACTTTCGTCGCCAAAAGGCTGGTTTTGGGGTATATCGTTGCATTTATGGGCACCTTGCTTTTTTTAACGGACAAAACGTGAGGGCACAAGTGAGCTAGTGTAAGTTCATTATTATGGAATTACCGGAGGCTGCGGTGACGACAGAAAAACAGGAAGAAGGGAAAATGTCTCGAGCACGGCTGAATTTTATTTCCACAGCATCCACTTACTGCAATATCCCGAGTCATTGCCCACCCCACTTTCTGGGAAAATATTGATTTCCAAAAAAACACGGAGTGATTGCCCACCCCAACATGGACTCCGCGGTCCGCGAGCATTCATCCTACCCGAATGACGCGGCCATGGACCTTACAATTGGAGGACGTCCGAGTCAAAGGAAAACGAAGAAGGGAAAGACACTTCTCCTTGTTTACGCATTTCCTCCACAATTTCTGCAACCCCGGAGTCGTAGTAGGTGCGTGCAAAAGGGAAACGATGGAGATAGCACAATTAGATTTTGTTTTCCTTACAAGAATGTTTGTTCGGTCAAAGAAACAGTCAGAAAGATAACACAAGCAATAACCGATTCAGGGATTGCAAGGTCAGCGAACGCCTCACATCCTGGAATGTAACCGCAGAGTGTAAGGTCAAGATCGCTACACACGGGCGTTTGCAAAGCGTCCCATTTCGAGCCCTGTGTTCGTGGTGCCGTCCATGCCTCGCAGCAACGCCACCTCAATTTGCCGTGCACACACGCACGCTTGTATGCACTAAACAAGAATGTTGTGCAAGAGCCTGCTGCTTCTGATTGACAAGGCACCCGTCTTGGCCCGACACCAAAGTACTTGCTAACGGGATCCCCGGCTTTCTCGCTTCCCCAGCATCGCTCTTCGTTGCTTCTTTCGTCTGCTCGCTCGTTACACCTGGTTTGTGTTTTCCTTTTTTCTTGTTTCTTTTTTTTTTTTTTTTTTTACTAACGAAGGGAGCATAGTTAGAAAGGTGCTTTCATGAAACAAACGTTTGCGCTGTATGCCGATCGGCGGTGTTCATCACGCTGATGCAAGCAACGACGTGGAGCGAACGCTCGCGCTGCAGAACCCAGAGACCCTGGGTTTAATTCCCAACCCCTGCCCGTTTCGATCTGAATGAGCATCGTACCGGCGTGCGGTCGTGTATCACTACTGCGTGGTGCACGTTAAAGACCCCAGGCTAGCGGTTGTACTCCACTGGCTGAATTGCTCATCTACAGCGTGTGACTCGTCGCAACTTTAATGGCAGACCAACTACACGCTGTATAAATATCCCCACAACCCAATTATTATTATTATGCAAGCAACAAACTTTGCAAACATTCTTTCATGAGCATTTCTTGCATAAAACAATAAACTAATTCGAGTATTGAATGTAATATATCTCTTGTGTAGCTGAGCTAGTTACATTCTAAAAAATTGTCATTTTTCTAGCTTTTTTTAAACTCTTTGTGCTTATCCACTGAGACTTGGCCCACACCTATTTTTATGAATTTCAGGCGGCAGGGGTTGGGCGATGACTCGGGATATTATGGTATATTGGTTCTGAACTAACAAAGGGGGAAAAGGAAACTTTCCAACGACGCTCTCTCCAAGAAAGCAACCTTGGCATCGGTAATCTAGAATTTCCGGGTACAAACTTTGTGTGGCATAAGGAACAAAAGGCAGGAAAACTAGATTTTACAAACTATAATTTACAGCCTACCCAGCAACCAAACAAAAGATGTGAACTCAAGATTGTCCATTGCAAAGGACCTGTATCTTTACATGAGGACACAACCACAAGTAGATAACCACCCCCTTTTTTAGTTCAGAACCAATACAGTGGAATCTCATTAATTCAAACCCTCTTAATTCACAATGATTAAAAAGCGCAACAAGACGACGAACACAGAAGAACTGTGTCGTCTTGTTGCGTTTTTTAATCATTATGAATCACCAACTTGCTCAACTTTCTACCCTCGTCAGCTCTTAATTCAAACTTCCGGATAAATTAAACTAACATGCAGGTCCCATCCTACGCGTCTATACCGACTGTATAAGTGGATTCCATGACAATAAAATTCGGCTGTGTTTGAGACCGCTTTCGTTCTTCTGTCATCTCCACACAATGATTGCTTCTTTCAAACCTTTGCATCACTATTCTCACTGAGGTCCGCAAGTTTTTCTTTTATTCTTTTTCAGGAAGTTGTTGAAGAGGGCTCAAAACATGCTGAGTGGTGCCTGTCAGAAAGCCCTCCATGCCTATGAGGAGCAGCGCCAGGGTCTAAGAGTTGAAGACATCTGCCTGAGGACCGAAACCGAACCCTCCATAGCAGACATGGTCGAATGGGTCATGGACGCCGAAAGACATTTCAGCAGTCAGTATCCTTTTGAGGCGTTGAACCTCCCGCACGTCTCTCTTCAACTTTTGCGACATTGCTCCCTCAACCTGAGACACAGCGTCTGTGCCAGGGAGTTCTTGCTGGAGAACATGAGTCTCGGCGAAAACTTTGCTGCCCAAAGGTTTGCCAGGGAGTGGATGGACGATGCGTCCATGCTGGCAGTCCTTAACGGTAAGCAGTGCTGCCTGATGCTCCTGTGTAAGGCCCACAGTCCAGCTAGATCCAGCAGCTGCAGGTCTGTGCTATTATGATCGTCCCGACATAAAAGAAAAAGGAATCCAATCTGATCCAATAGGTTGAAACAGAAAAGAGCAAGTGCACAACGTTAGACAAGACAAGCGGAACATTAAAAGAAGCAACATACATGTTGCCCCCGTTGTAAAGTACCTATGTTGCTGGGCTAGTTGGTAGTAGGCACAAAATAGCGCAAAAGAAGCAATGACAAAATGCTCGAAGCCACTAAGTTGAGGAGGCTTCCCTCTTTCTAATCGTCTCCGTCATTCGCTTCCCTTGTCTGTCGTGAGCGGCATTGCGAGCAACCGCCGACTGCAGTGCCGCGACGCGCCTACGCACGGAGTACCCTCGCTCCGGGGGGCCAGCGGACGGGGAGAACGGCGCAACCATGCGAGGACACGGCTGTATGTCGCTGACCACACATATTGCCTTTAACCTGCAATAAACCGTTCTTGTTATACCCGAACAACGGCTACGACAGTCCGAGGTTTTAATTTTTATTGCAGCTGAGACACTTTACGGGTGTCAGTTGGAAAATACAGACTACAGTGCAGGAAACTGAAATTGCCACTAAGCAACTTGTATGAAAGCTTATTTTCAACAGTTAAGGTCGTCATTATAGCCTCGTGAAATACATGACAGCGGTGCACTTCGTTGATCCAACTGCATAAACAGTGTCTCGTTTGCCGTCTCGGTGCCTCCGAGGCAAAGTGTCGGCCTACGGGTCCCCGAGTGCAAGGTTTCAATCCCGACGGAGAGACCCGCAATGCGGGTGAGGCTTATTGCGAAGAAGGCACCGTGTGACCGAGATTTCGTCTGCACTTCAAAGATCCTCTGGTGATCGACATGAATCCTCAGCCCTTAGCTGGGGCATGCCAGATGCCTTTCGTTCGTTTGGCACGTAAAACCCATAGATATTGATTTTTTTTGTGTGTCTTGCATTCAAACGCCAGCTTGCACTGGTAGCAGTCTTGACTTTCCCCCTTCCCTGCAGGCTACCGGCAAGTTTTAGAGCTCAAGTACAGCATTCCTTCCCCCCCCCCCCCCCCCCCCCCTCCCCCTTGCCCCAAATGTTTTAAGATGTATGGCTGAGTGCCCGTCCCAAACACAGATAACCGGCACTACGGCGCCTAAGGCATGCCTCCGATTAGTGTGTCTGCTGTATACGTAGCTTGCACGCGACGTTCAGTCCACCTCTCTTTTTTGGTGGCCGAAAGCACCTCGTTAATGTGGCAGAGGCTGCACTCTCACGCGCCCTTTCCCCAAAGTCTGCCCCTCTTCCTGGCGGCAGAAAATGTCTCGTTAGCGCAGCAAAAGCTACCCTCTCGCGCGCCCTTTCCCCCATAATGTCTGACTGAGTGACGTCGGTGCAAGCTACATACGCTCGAATGTGGTTCCTCGATTTCTGCACAATGACTTCTCGGAAGTGTCACGCTGTTGTGTGCCGTGATCCTGGCCGTGGCACCACAGCAGAGGTGGATCTGCTAGCTACGCCTGTTCCGCTGCAGGTCGCCCTCCAACTTGATGGTCCACGGAAGCTTCAACAGCCAAGAGTTCACACATCTCTGGCGACAGCAACACTCGCGTTCCCTCATAGTTTTTGCCGGAACTCGTACGGCCCAAGGCCAGAATCTCAAAATGTTGCAGCGTGACATGCCGGCTCCTGCGACGTTATTTGTTGCTACTTTGGGACTACTGTGGATCTGGGAGGGTATGGGGAGTGAAAGACCGTCTGCCTCTTGCGCAGGGGTTGCGGTGACATCGGAACACCAAGCTCCGATTGGCTCCGATCGAAGGATTGTAGGAAGACCTCGAGGCAGCTAGCATAGAGGTCTACCCACTATCCTTCCAATCTGAACCAACCGAAACTCGGCGTGACGACGTCGCCGCAACCCCTGCTCAAGAAGCAGATTGACTTGCGCTTCGCATAGGACACTATGCACACCAGTCGAAAATGCATTCTAGGCACTGTGCCACTGCCCAGGCTCAAATTTCCAGAGTGCACCAATCTGAGAGTGCACGGTAACCATCCCACATTGAAACTTACATGGGCATTGCGAGAACTTGGTTAATGCCATGTGAATCAATTTGGCTTATTTCTGCCGAAGTCACCAACTCACATTTTTAGCAGCATGCTCGGAAAGCTTGGTCACAAAACTATGTTGCGTTTGATTAGGCGTTGCGTTTCTTCTTTCAGAAATGCTATGCACGGCGAGTTTTCTCATGGAGGCAAAGGACTGACGATTGGGCTGCTAAGTATGCATCTTGGAAGCAACTGTATAGTCTTGTATAACAAAGTCTCGAAATATATTTTATTGAAACACATTTGTCACAAAGCTCGGAGATTGGGGGCCTAACGTTGCATTGCAGCGCTAGTTCTCACCCTCACAAGTAACAATTACGCACGCTGTTGAGAAGTTTCTCATCCCATTTCTTAATGGATTTTCTCAGCCCCCTCCAATGCATTGTTCACTGTGGTCTGCGTTCAACCTCTATTAATGTGACAGCTGTTTTACCAGAGCTGGTACTAAACCACACTTGTCTTATTAATGAGCCTTGGTGGGATGGGCTCTGGCACTATGAACAAAGAGCGCAGAATCCCCTTCCCTCCAGCCTTGGTAAGGGGGCCAGGAATTGGCTGAATTGAATTGGCTGAAATTCGTTCCAACATGCTGGTGATTCATGTCCCTGTACAGTAAACCAAGCTCTGGTTTACTGCAATCTAGGCTTTCTGCATAGATTATAATGAACATAAGATGGAAGATATTAACATAGCAGTTCATAATTTGTGGCAGAGGCTGCCTAACGTTTACGAGGACCTAATTTTCGTAAATTTCGAGACTTGAAAAATGTTGGGAAAAATTTATTGTGCGAGTAGTAATAAATACATAGCATACCACTCCCAATCGCAAAAGATTCCCAAAACCCACACTTCGCAAAGCTCCCCAAATATTGAGCCCGCCAAAGAAAAATGTTTCCAGTATTTAATTAAGTAAAACATTTTTCCAGTTTGAAACCTGTTTATTTACCAGTAAATACAGATAAAATATATACCGTCGGAAGAAACAATTGAAGAATGATTCTTCAACAAGGGGTTCATTGAGAAGTAATACACACCTAGTAGATGGAGTCGAGATGTACAATCACCAGAACACGTTTTGCATTGGCGCTAAAACACAAAAACTGATTTTTTTTCTTACTTTATTTTACTGCTGACATATGAGGCCAAGCGGTAGGCAACGCTGCTTTGTTTCCTCACCATTCTAAGTTTGAGTAACCAAACTGAAATAAATGTTGGTCGATCGATTTATGTCCCTTTGACAGCGACTATACTCCGTTTCATGGTAACTTGGCGAACTGTGGAGGCTGCGGCCCCCGCGACCCAATAAGAGCGTCGGTGCTATTCGTGTGATAACAATTCATGGTTGAGGCCACGGAGGCCTCGTTACTGTCACAGACAGCAACAGCACTGTCTGCGACAAAACATTCGTCTAGGTTTCTTTTTCTTTTTAACGCCCATTGAACTCGCGCAATCACATCTCTATCTAAAACATAAATACAATAAAGAATAAATATTAAATTTATAAATTTCACTTATATTTTAAAAAAAAAGTGACGCCACATTCGCATTTGCTCCCAATCTTTTTTTCTTCTTGTAGCGCTGTGACCATTGGCGATTGCACTTGCGTAATCAACCCCTTCCGCTCAAAACATCGCTTTGGCGTTAGCACCCACCACAGATTCGCGGGTAAATTGAGCGTTCAGTTGTCTAATGAACTGTTCCCGAAGAGCTTGCTACGCTAGCGAACAGCAATGTTGAGGCGGTGGACGTTCATCTGAAGTGGGTTATTTTCACAGCAGACAACTCTTGACCAGCAGACGACAGTCAGTTTTTTTGGCGCAGTGACACATGCTCCCGTGACGTAGTGTCACGTGTCTTGCTCCGACGATCTTATTGGGTTGCGGGGGCTGTAGCGGGTGCTGTAGCCTCCACAGTTGGCCAAGTTATCATGAAACGGAGTATACCAAGCGACCCTTCAAAAAGCTGCCCTTGAGAGAACTGTGTGCATGTCCGTAAGATACCGCTCGGATGAACTGTACAAGACTTGACAAACTACATCGGATAAAGACGCAGTCTTTATTCTTCCAAATGATATGCAAAAATATGGTCTAAAATTTTGTCTGACGAGAGGTGCGTACAGGCAAAATGCTTTAAACAACCTATTTTTCGCGATTTAGGTCGAAGCTGAAGTTTTGGAATAATTCGCGGGTTCTAATTTTCACGACGCAGTGGGATCTTAATATAGATTACAATGTATTTACATTTTACCGGAATTGTTCGCAGGACCTGTTTTTCGCATATTGCAGGCGATTCACGAAATTTGCGAAAATTAAGTCGTTTACAGTATGTCACATTCTAGAGGATAAATGAACTCAACTTAGTCAACGCTCCAAAAGCGAAGCTGTGCATCAACACAAACACGACGGGAGCACTCAACACACTTTACATGCTGCACAGCTCAAGGCTGGTTCGTACGCTTGAGTCCGAGTGTAACGGAGTGAGTTATGGCCGCTTAGTAGGACTAGAGCACACGCTCTGGTCCCAAACACTCTGGATATGCGTTACGCATAATCCTCGTCTTGGGGGTGGTGGTGGGGGGGGGGGAGGCAACACCGACAGCCGCCACCACGCCAAACTCGTCCACAATCACGGCCCCCGCTCACCTTTGAGCGCCGGCGTGCCGTCCGACATGAGCGACCAGGGCGGACTTGCGGGCGAAGGGCCGCCAACACACACCGCACTGGTATGGCTTCTCGCCGGTGTGTGTACGGGCGTGCCTGATCAGGGTGATCTTCCGGGAGAAAGAGCGCCGGCAGTAGTGACACTCGAAGGGCTTGGCAACGGGCGGCGGGTTGGTGTAGGCCGCGCCGAACGCCGTAGGATCGGGGACTGCGTGCGGTGCGGCATTGTTGAACGTCGTGCATGGCAGCGGGGCACATGGCAGTCCCGCAGTTCCCCCGAGATACGCTAGTTCCACTGGAAAAGATGCCACATTCAGGATTTATGGGCAGTCCCGTGGAAGGTTTAGAGTAAAACAAGGTTTTGCTGCCATCTTTTTCTTTTTTAAAACTATAACAGTGTCTTGCAACTCCTTATTCCTCGTGTAATGACCATATAGGGCATCAAGGTTTCAATAAATGATGACGATACATGTTGAGACATCCAACGGCTTTGACATTGAATCAACTATAATTGTGCCTGCCAGAGTTCGAAGATCGACTCTGTCGGAATTCTATGTTGTGCTTTAAAAAAACTATGACACGCGAATTAATGTTTCGTTCAATGTTTATTGTAGAAAACTGTTTGATTTTACAAACACGAGAAAGCTTGACAGCAGACGCGAGAGTAGGAGGTTAAACGAGTGGAATAGCCGTCCTGGCACAACTTTGAGCTAAACTGTTTAGAATGGTGCAGTCGCACTTGAAACACAAACTGCTTAAAATTATTAATGATTTGAGAGGCCAAACAAGATATCACTTTTACAACCGTTCAGACTGGGAAAGATGGCCGGTCGGGCATTATTTTATGGCGATAACCTTCGCCAACAGGTCGTACGTCTTAGCGGTCCCATCGTTCAAACAGTAAAGGACAGATCTGCAGTCAACAAAAGCAAGAACAATGCAAAACAAGAGCCGACTGGGTGAACCACATTCAATATCACGCAGCCACCCCTGTAAGGACTGCCATAAGGGCAAGGGCACGCACGACACACCGATTCCTTTTTTTTCATGGGCGCAGTGGCAAACGGTGTTGCTGGTAGTCTTTGTTTCCTTACGAACCTCACCTGCCAGATGAATTGCATTAATTCTACTTCGACAGCAGTAGAATACACAGTTGAACCAGCTTCCAACTGCCGCAATTCCCAAAGCTTCGGGCAGCGAGTGCCAGTAATGCTGTTGTTCCGATGAGTAAAAAGATGGGAGACGTCCACTATACAGTGCAATCCACTTATAACGATACCAGATATAACAATATATTGCTTATAACGACCAGTTTCTAGTACAGATACGACAATCGGTTATAACAATTGAAATTTCGGGTTTTCTAAGTGGATTGCACTGTACTCTGCTTCATCCTACAACGGACCGCAGAGGAGGCTACAAACCTTCATACCCAATTTCGCGCCATGCGAGCGTCGCATGATCTTTGGGAGAGGCATGCACGGAGCCACGCGCCGTTCACGGCGCTGGATTGGCTGGTAGCGTGCACGTCGTGAAACAAAGTAAACATGTTGCGCAAGTGTCTGCTAGTTATACAGTTTGTGGCCTCAATAACAGTGCATTACTTCAGACATGCATCCTCATACGAGTGACTAAGGGAGACTTCCGGTGAAAGGCCCAGAAGCACAGCTGACAGCTATAGGGTCTTTCGTCCGTTTGCAGCCTCGTGTGACCCGTCGGGTCGGTAGAACGACGAAGAGCAAAGGGCCTTTTGTCTGTGTGTCTCGACACTTGTCTCCTGAGGTTGATCTCTTCGAAGAAGCGCTTGGAGCAGCGTGTGCACTTGGACAGCTGTTCGACCTTGTGGCGCTTCGGGTGTTTCGACATCACCTGCTTGTCGTGAGTGATATAGCGGTGCCAGTGGGGGCACCTGAAGCTGTTCTCCTCGACGAGCTCCGGTGCCCCCGATGGACGGCTTGGACCGGACGAAAAACCTGGTGGAGGAACGAAATGTTGCAGAATGCATTATAACGCAAGCAAAAAAAAAGTTATTTCTATGGTTTTGAAAGTGGAGTGAAACCTCTCGGAGCCCTCGAGATTATGAAGACCGTTTTTTTTGCAACCTCCGATGAGCTGGTAAGGAAAACAAGTGATGAAAAATGTTTCAATACACACAAAATTTAGATATTCAATAGATACTTTTCCAGAGAATTGCAGTGCAGAATTTGGCACTTATGACTTATCAGGTGACAACCTTCTTTAAATAGGGTTGCCACCTGGTTTTCTGAACCACTGGTCGCCACTGACATGTAATGTGTATGGAGGAAACTGCACACAAAGTTTTGGGGAGGACAAACAGACGTCCATGATGATGGGGATTGGGGAAGAACGTCTGTGGTCTTGATGTGTGATGAAGGACTGAGGATCTCGGCAGTTCCGTGCAGTGATTATGGACTGATGTGTATATGAAAACATTCTTCATCACTAGTAGTCTCTTCCTACTCAGTTTATCAGAGGTTGAGAAAAAAAACACAGCCTTCGTATATGTCAGCAGACTGAACCGATTTTCTGAAGTGAAACCGGATTGACAAGCCTGTAG